GGCGGGGTGGTTGAGGTGAGACCAGGGGGTGACAGGGTGGGGCCAGGGGTGATACCAGGATGGGGTGCGGCCCAGAGGCCCAGGGGGTGCGGCCCAGGGAATGAGGCTCCATGTGAAGATAAGAAGAGCTGTAACAATAGTGTACTGTGCGTTTTCAAGGTCACATAACTGCTGTGTTCGCTTCTCTGTGATCGATTATGAGTCAAGATCAGTAATATAGACTAATAACCAACACTTAACTGTTATCTATTTGTCTGTTATCGAAAAACGCACTTGACCAGCAGTCAAGTAATAGTACACACAAATCTTTAATTTTGTTGATCTCACGGCCTTATGTCTGTAGTGTTGGGGAGGTAATGATGAGGTGCACATTGTTTGGTCAATGTCTGATGAAGTATTCTACTGTACTCAGTGTATTGATGAAGTATTATACTGTACTCAGTGTATTGATGAAGTATTCTACTGTACTCAGTGTATTGATGAAGTATTCTACTGTACTCAGTGTATTGATGAAGTATTATACTGTACTCAGTGTATTGATGAAGTATTATACTGTACTCAGTGTATTGATGAAGATTATACTGTACTCAGTGTATTGATGAAGTATTATACTGTACTCAGTGTATTGATGAAGTATTATACTGTACTCAGTGTATTGAAGTATTATACTGTACTCAGTGTATTGATGAAGTATTATACTGTACCAGTGTATTATGAAGTATTATACTGTACTCAGGTATTGATGAAGTATTATACTGTACCCAGTGTATTGATGAAGTATTATACTGTAACTCAGTGTATTGATGAAGTATTATACTGTACTCAGTGTATTGATGAAGTATTATACTGTACTCAGTGTATTGATGAAGTATTATACATCAGTGTATTGATGAAGTATTATACTGTACTCAGTGTATTGATGAAGTATTATACTGTACTCAGTGTATTGATGAAGTATTATACTGTACTCAGTGTATTGATGAAGTATTATACTGTACTCAGTGTATTGATGAAGTATTATACTGTACTCAGTATTGATGAAGTATTATACTGTACTCAGTGTATTGATGAAGTATTATACTGTACTCAGTGTATTGATGAAGTATTATACTGTACTCAGTGTATTGATGAAGTATTATACTGTACTCAGTGTATTGATGAAGTATTATACTGTACTCAGTGTATTGATGAAGTATATAATACTGTACTCAGTGTATTGATGAAGTATTATACTGTACTGAACTCAGTGTATTGATGAATTATACTGTACCAGTGTATTGATGAAGTATTATACTGTACTCAGTGTATTGATGAAGTACTACTGTACTAGTGTATTGATGAAGTATTCTACTGTACTCAGTGTATTGATGAAGTATTATACTGTACTCAGTGTATTGATGAAGTATTATACTGTACTCAGTGTATTGATGAAGTATTATACTGTACTCAGTGTATTGATGAAGTATTATACTTGTACTCAGTGTATTGATGAAGTATTATACTTGTACCAGTGTATTGATAGTATTATACTGTACTCAGTGTATTGATGAAGTATTATACTGTACTCAGTGTATTGATGAAGTATTATACTGTACTAGTGTTTGATGAAGTATTATACTGTACTCAGTGTATTGATGAAGTATTATACTGTAATTGCGTATTGATGAAGTATTATACTGTACTCAGTGTATTGATGAAGTATTATACTGTACCAGTGTATTGATGAAGTATTATACTGTACTCAGTGTATTGATGAAGTATTATACTGTACTCAGTGTATTGATGAAGTATTATACTGTACCAGTTTGATGAAGTATTATACTACCAGTGTATTGATGAAGTATTATACTGTACTCAGTGTATTGATGAAGTATTATACTGTACTCAGTGTATTGATGAAGTATTATACTGTACTCAGTGTATTGATGAAGTATTATACTGTACTCAGTGTATTGATGAAGTATTATACTGTACTCAGTGTATTGATGAAGTATTATACTGTACTCAGTGTATTGATGAAGTATTATACTGTACTCAGTGTATTGATGAAGTATTATACTGTACTCAGTGTATTGATGAAGTATTATACTGTACTCCAGTGTATTGATGAAGTATTATACTGTACTCAGTGTATTGATGAAGTATTATACTGTACTCAGTGTATTGATGAAGTATTATACTGTACTCAGTGTATTGATGAAGTATTATACTGTACTATGTATGAAGTATTATACTGTACTCAGTGTATTGATGAAGATATTATACTGTACTAGTGTATTGATGAAGTATTATACTGTACTCAGTGTATTGATGAAGTATTATACTGTACTCAGTGTATTGATGAAGTATTATACTGTACTCAGTGTATTGATGAAGTATTATACTGTACTCAGTGTATTGATGAAGTATTATACTGTACTCAGTGTATTGATGAAGTATTATACTGTACTCAGTGTATTGATGAAGTATTATACTGTACTCAGTGTATTGATGAAGTATTATACTGTACTCAGTGTATTGATGAAGTATTATACTGTACTCAGTGTATTGATGAAGTATTGTACTTGGTATTGATGAAGTATTATACTGTACTCAGTATTGATGAAGTATTATACTGTACTCAGTGTATTGATGAAGTATTATACTGTACTCAGTGTATTGATGAAGTATTATACTGTACTCAGTGTATTGATAAGTATTATACTGTACCAGTGTATTGATGAAGTATTATACTGTACTCAGTGTATTGATGAAGTATTATACTGTACTCAGTGTATTGATGAAGTATTATACTGTACTCAGTGTATTGATGAAGTATTATACTGTACTCAGTGTATTGATGAAGTATTATACTGTACTCAGTGTATTGATGAAGTATTATACTGTACTCAGTGTATTGATGAAGTATTATACTGTACTCAGTGTATTGATGAAGTATTATACTGTACTCAGTGTATTGATGAAGTATTATACTGTACTCAGTGTATTGATGAAGTATTATCTGTACTCAGTGTATTGATGAAGTATTATACTGTACTCAGTGTATTGATGAAGTATTATACTGTACTCAGTGTATTGATGAAGTATTATACTGTACTCAGTGTATTGATGAAGTATTATACTGTAACTCAGTGTATTGATGAAGTATTATACTGTACTCAGTGTATTGATGAAGTATTATACTGTACTCAGTGTATTGATGAAGTATTATACTGTACTCAGTGTATTGATGAAGTATTATACTGTACTCAGTGTATTGATGAAGTATTCTACTGTACTCAGTGTATTGATGAAGTATTATACTGTACTCAGTGTATTGATGAAGTATTATACTGTACTCAGTGTATTGATGAAGTATTATACTGTACTCAGTGTATTGATGAAGTATTATACTGTACTCAGTGTATTGATGAAGTATTCTACTGTACTCAGTGTATTGATGAAGTATTATACTGTACTCAGTGTATTGATGAAGTATTATACTGTACTCAGTGTATTGATGAAGTATTATACTGTACTCAGTGTATTGATGAAGTATTATACTGTACTCAGTGTATTGATGAAGTATTATACTGTACTCAGTGTATTGATGAAGTATTATACTGTACTCAGTGTATTGATGAAGTATTATACTGTACTCAGTGTATTGATGAAGTATTATACTGTACTCAGTGTATTGATGAAGTATTATACTGTACTCAGTGTATTGATGAAGTATTATACTGTACTCAGTGTATTGATGAAGTATTATACTGTACTCAGTGTATTGATGAAGTATTATACTGTACTCAGTGTATTGATGAAGTATTCTACTGTACTCAGTGTATTGATGAAGTATTATACTGTACTCAGTGTATTGATGAAGTATTATACTGTACTCAGTGTATTGATGAAGTATTATACTGTACTCAGTGTATTGATGAAGTATTATACTGTACTCAGTGTATTGATGAAGTATTATACTGTACTCAGTGTATTGATGAAGTATTATACTGTACTCAGTGTATTGATGAAGTATTATACTGTACTCAGTGTATTGATGAAGTATTATACTGTACTCAGTGTATTGATGAAGTATTATACTGTACTCAGTGTATTGATGAAGTATTATACTGTACTCAGTGTATTGATGAAGTATTATACTGTACTCAGTGTATTGATGAAGTATTATACTGTACTCAGTGTATTGATGAAGTATTATACTGTACTCAGTGTATTTTCTTCGTCAGGTCCAGTTATTCGGCTGATTGTCCCCCAGGGAGGTCTGGTGAATATCCCTCACTCTTGCTGATGATCTAGTCTAGAATTACAACTCTGCCCAGCTCCTGCTTCTACGGGTACAGTAGATAAACATATTATTGGTCTATACTACCCTGGGTGAATAACTATACCTTATACCTGTTCTTCACGATGGATTCGCCTGTTTTAGTCCACGACCTCTTGTGTGTGTGACACCTGGACACCTCGATGAGATGAATTGGGTTTACACCTTCCAGCCTGTGTCTGTGAAGTCTTCCTTGTCGTGTCTTGTTTGATGAGTTGTCAGCCATAAAGCCTTTACTTTACCTGGACACTCAAGATTCATTTTTTTTTATCTGCAGTTTATTTTTATTTGAAAACAAACTGTCTTGATGAAAAAGCTTATATATTTTTTTTAGTTTACGTGGTGATCGCTGACTGTATCACTGTTTAATGTCAGGGTACTGTGCTCTGATGTCATAGCACAGCACTTTAGGAAACTGCCATAGTGTTTTGTAACAAATTCAAAACACTGATAAATGAGCGACTGAACTTGTAAAATAATAACAAATATGTAATCGATGCCGTGAAGTGGTGAGTCACGATTACTCTGTTAAGTTAGCGTTCTTCTTTAATTTCCAATCTTCTGTTAAATTATTTGTCAAACAAATTGCTTCCTCAGTAAGAATAGTTATGCGCAAATTATTTTTTTTTCTGAATTCTCAGATCTAACACAAGCAAACTGTTGCCTCATCCCTCGCCGACACTCACCCACTATAATTTATATCATCCAACACGGTGAGGACATGTAGGCCAGAATTAGAGTATACAGATACAATCAGCAAACTGAGAGGTGTATCGCTCTTAATTTTGAATTGTTTAAAGACTAGAGAGTGTACTAGCGTAGAATACTCCATTAAAGACCTCAGTTGTTAAAGCACGGTAGTATATTATAACAATATATTTATACAGCATATAATTGGAAGTACAGGCGGTGACCACGACCCAATTATTGATTATTTTTATATTTCCTGTCAAGGAAAGTAAAAATGGTCAGTTCGGTATGGAATGTGTGTTTGTAAATTCGAGATAAAGTGAAGCACAACATGACGAGTCATACGTGTGGGCGTGAGAGTGAAGTAACTCTTGACCACAACAAGATACCTGGCGCAGGTGCCGCCACCTCTACTGATGTTAGTTCTTATGCTTGGTCATCTTGTGCTCTTAAACCTACTGATAAACAACATTCAACGCGAAGGAAAAATTTTAAATAGACACTTTAGAAACTGATAGACTTGTATTGGTACTTGTTACTATCTGATCATAAATCGCTCTCAAAAGTGTAAAATGTTAGAGGAAGACTGAGGCACTGCTTAACATCTTTATGTCCACCCAATGACCCTGTTTTATCAGTTTGAGAAAATGAAACAATAAACCAATGACCTCTGTAGTATTTATTAATCATCACGTTGACATGATATACATTAAGAAATATGAACTGTGCCCAAGTTTCGTTTATTGTTCCCATTTCATCTGGAAATGTATACACAGTACAGTATACTGTATATTATAATAAAATAAAAATTACATCATATTCTCGGATTAAATCGTCAATAAAGAATAGTGATTTAGTCGAATCTCAGACGTGACAGTTCACAGCTGTGATGTTGAGCCGTAGTATATAGGAGCGGCCACTGTCGTAATGTACTCGTTAAAAAGTGCTCTCGTGGTTCGTGTTACGTCATTATTGGTAATAACTTTGAGAAATTGTTACTGTTAGTATTAGGATTACAGTATTATTCTGATTATTAAAGTTATTATTCTTTTTATTATAAATTTTAATTAATTTTGCTAAATTAAACAATGAAATTATTTCATTGTTTAATTCTTTATATTTAGGTTGTTGATATATTTATATTTATATTTTTAATTAATTTATTTAAGAAATGTTTTAATTTGTCTGATTTCGTGTTTACGGTATAGATAGGTGAGAGAAGCTGCTTATCTCTAGTGTGCTCACCGTTGAGACAGGGAATGGGCGGTGCTCCGCGCTACCTGGTGAGTCCCCTTGCTGAACCTGGTGACTCCCCTTGGTGAGTCCTTGTTGAGTTCCTGGTGACTCCCCTTGGTGAGTCACTCTCGTTTCACACTCACCAACACCGCCTTTGACCGTACATGAGCAGACACGTTGGAGTGTTTGAAGAATTTGATCGAATAGAGTCTGAGGTGGAACTCGGCCAGGCGTCGCTGGTACAGTCTCCTGGACTCACGTGCTAAGGTCCGCCCGAGTCCGACTGACCTGACCGTCTCACTACCACTGCCTTAGTGCAACTCTGCTTCTGCCTGCATCCTGCCGCCTTTTATCCGTGCATTTCATTGCCAGACGCCGCCAACTCGAGGACACCAGCGTCATTCCTTCGTGTGTAAGTCACTGATTTTCCTTCATTTCACGACCTGCCAAGCTCAGCTGCGCATGTCGGTCACGATTGATGTCCTGTATTTTTTTCGTGGAATACTGCATTGTTTTTCTTTTTCTTACAGAGGTATTCTTACGTATATCGAGTTATTATCGTTGTGTGTGTTCTAATATTTATGTTTGTTCATGTCTTGTGTTTGTCGGCATTTTTTATTTCTGCATACTTATTTGTCTATAATGTGTGTGTGTGTGTGTGTGTGTCATGGCGTGTGTGCGGATGCATGGAAGGGGTTGGAGGGAAGCACAGCGAGAGAAATGAGGATCCATTATTCAACATATCGAAGGAATATGCCGGAATTTCCTTAACCCGACCTCACTTACGTGTCACTTGTACACCATAAGAAGAGCACTTTTCTAGATGATATCCATTGCTTTCAGATCTGATATTAATAATGAATTTCTACACAGTAAAAACATGAAATCTGGAATTATTTTTTTTCAAACTGAATTGAAAAATATTTCTTAAATAAAGCATCCGAAATACTAAGGGGGGTGGTGACGTCATATGAGGTATCATCGCTGAAGAAACCTAAATAAATAACCTGAAATGGTACTTATTGTATCAATCAATTCACCTGGACCTCTGGTCTGGTCACTGTCTGTTTGACAACTTTACACATCTCAAAACTACTACTTTCCAAAAATGTTCCCTGCATGGTCCTCTCTCACTAATCCGACGTCATCGTTAGCTGTACCATCCAAGATGGCTGACGTTACTAAAAACAAACAGAAAAATTTATATTGGACATACTGTCTCGTCAGAAACTCCTGACTCAATGTACCTGAAAATTTTGTAGTAATGTTCTTTTGATAGTTTCTTTTCAGTGTTATGTCCAACTTACGCGTTAAGGCTCTGTTGGCCACTTTTTAGTGATTGAGATTACCACATGTGATGTGCGCTCTTTTCAAATTCTGTTTTATGCTCAAGCTGCTATACAAGTTTTAGGTTTCAGTACGAATGTTTACTTATTTTACACATAACACCTTCACCAAAACAGAAAGGAGCAGAGTTGGCGTTGACCTTTAAAGGGAAGACTTTTCACCAACTAAGACTGCTTTTTAATTTACTCTAGAGTCTAGAGTATTAAACTTCCAACACGTCCAAAGTGTTGGAGTGTAAGTTGAAGGTTGTATTGTGTGAAGTAAACAAATGTTCATGTGCTAATGTCTCACAGCCATAGAGGACAACATAAACCCTCCAAGACGACTCACAAGACGGAATTTAGAACGAACAAGTAAAAAATTAGACAGCAGCAGTAAACTTCCTTAAATTACCTAGCGGTTTCGTTTACGGTCTACAGGTCGCGCACACCACTTACATACATATACTAGACACACATTCACGCGTGAGCGCTCGCACACGTACACACGATCATGCGCGCAAAAACATAAAAGGAACACCTACAATATATGACGCGGGTGATGATATTCGTTAGTCACCTCGTGGCGAGGTATACAAGCTCCTCGCTCACCACCGGCCGTACTGGTTGACGAAGATGCTTTCCTCTGATGACGATTCAGCGGCAACACACACACACACACACACACACACCGTCGCAAAAAGTACGTGTCGTTTGTTAATAAAAGACAACGGTGGGGAACGGGGAAGGACGGTACTGTACTTGGCAAGGTATGGCTCCCCTGAGGAACTGCTGGGTGGTGAAGGCTCCCGGGTGGGAGAGGGGGTAATTAGTGCGGGGGGGGGGTGTATTGTACTGCTTCCCTCCCCCCTCCCCCCTGAACGTGAATAGTGACAGTATGATCGCGGTCATCGTGTCGGGGATGGTGACAAGGATGTTGTTGGTGGAGGAAATTATTTAAAATATTGATGATAATTTGTGTTGATGGTGTTGTTAGATGGAGTGTCTGTGATATTTGGTGTGTGGATATATTTTCTGGTGCGAAGTTATGTTTAACACTTGAGTATGATGATGTAACCTCCTGAATACAAGGAATTAATCCATTAAATACGATGACATGTTACTCAGGAGATTAAATCATCGTACTCAAGTTGATCGCAGAGCATCATCACTTAAGTCCCGGAGAAACATTTTCCGCAAAAGCAAATTTTCGTTGCGTCGGTTGATGGTGTGGCCTGCAAGGGAGGCGGGAGTTATAGTGGGGGTTCATCAGTATGCCTGCGTGCGCTGTGTTCAATCAAAAGAAAACATTTATTTCTTTATATATTCTCCTCCTCATTCTTCGGGTGTTATCAGGCGGTCTTGCTGTTCCTCCAAAAAATTGTTGTGTCAGCATCGATATGATCAGGTATGTCTATGTGAGTCGCCGACGCTCGGTATGCACGCGAGACCTCCACCTGCACCCGAGGACGTCTTCCCTGATGAATATTCGGGTAGCAGGACCCAGCAAACCTCCCTCCGCCACCCACCCCGCCACACACACACACACACACACACCGTTTCCGGGTGCTGACGCTGCCCATTGGCGGTCACCAGAAACGTTATGACATGTCGGTGATTATTTTGTTCTCTCTTCAATTTGATCTCCTTAAATCATACTAATAACTAAACACCTTGAAACAGTCACATCAACGTCTCACCTCCTAGATGACTGTACGTAAACTTGTCTTTCATACTCCCGGGAGCTCTAACTTGATGTAAATGAATTGACTTTGGGTGACGGTGCTTGAGGACAGGCTGCAGGGGTTCTCTTGGCCACCATTACCCACGTAGCTCACCGTCATTGTGTCAGCTGGAACAACACACACCATCACACACTGCCACTACTACTACTACTACTACTACTACTACTACTACTACTACTACTACTACTACTACTACTACTACTACTACTACTACTACTACTACTACTACTACTACTACTACTACCAAATACTGTACAATCATCAGCACTACTACCACCACTACTACTACCACCATCACATACAACTAAACACTACTACCACCAAATACAACCACCTCACACAACTACCACCACCACACAACCACCACTACTACCAGCACACGCAACCACCGCATCACACAATTACCACAACCACAACCACCATCACCAAATACAACCACCCCACATAACTACCACCACCACACAACCACCAGTCCACCACTACCACCACCACCACACTCCTCCCGGTCTGCCACGTTCACCAACTTAATTTCCTCTGACAACTCATCTATTTTTTGTATTTTTTTTGTCTCCGTGATTAAGGTATGAATAATGTGTGTCTCTGAGGAGGTCCGGGTCATAGTGGGTCCAGTGGCACGTCCCTTACCTTACGTCTCTCTCTCTCTCTCTCTCTCTCGGTTTAGTCACCAGGTTGCACGGGGTCCACCAAAGTTGTGTTTAAGGGGTCATTTCAGCAAAGGAATCCCTGAAATGACTCATTGATTTTGGACATTCAGAGACAGCAGTGATACACAGGCATACGCACAGAGAAGTCAAAATCATGTAGTCCATGTTATTTTTATATGTATATATTGTATAATGAAGAGATAGGTAAATCGTTAGAGAGAGAGAGAGAGAGAGAGAGAAAAAAAAATGCACATCATGCCACCCACCAACTGTACAGTATGTACGCATCCTCCTGGTTGCTAATTGAGGGAGGGATTTTGGCGCGAGAACCTCATGAGTCATGAAGTGTCGTGTACATGGAAATTAGTGAATCTGAAAAATACTAAAAAACAAAGTTTACCTAGAAAAAAAATGACGGATTTTCCAGTACACAGTCATATGAATGTGCCTTATCAGGTGAAGGTTATTACATTGCAGGGTAAATATGAATTGGGAATTTCCTGAAACGGAGTTCAGTGGATCTCGGTAGTTTATTGAAATATTTTTTAATATCACTTCGCAAAGAAAGAAAACTCATATTACCCATTGTTGTTTGGGTAATCTTGGCAAAGGACAGCGAGCCCCTAGATTGTACCGATCGAAATCTATAATTCCCAGAAAGCGACGACGCGGGCGGGGAGGTGGGTGTGAGGGTGACCAAGCACCAGATTGTCAGTGATGGGTATGGTAAGTTCTCATTCTAGATGGTGATGTGAGAACACAACAATGCATTAGTTGGCTCACGACACACATATGGCACCCTGAGTTGTGGATAATAATAACAGTAATAGCTTATAATAATGACAATACCCAGTAAAAATAATTACAGATAATAATAATAATAATAATAATAATAATAATAATAATAATAACTTACAGGTTCTTACGTATGGACAGATATATCTTCCCAACACACCTAAATTTTTGCACATGTTTTAAGTTCAGGGATACAAAGTTGGCACGGCATTGATTTTTAGGCCCAGAGGCACACTATGTAAATGTCTTCTTCACACACACACACACACACACACACACACACACACACACACACACGTACGTCGTATGATATTTTAACCTCCCTAGTATAGCCCCATAAGATCCTGGGCTCCTATTCTAGAAGATTCGTCAGGTTAATTTTTTTCACTTCGCGTGTCAGTAAAAGTAAAACCTCAGTGCAGCGTTTATGTGCGTTAGGCCAGAGTTTTGGTGTGAGTGTTGAAGTGAATAAGTTGGTGATATTCTCGCCTCACTACTCACTCGGGGAGGTGGATGGGGGGTGAATTTAATGAGAATTCAGCCCCATATTAGATTTTGATTTGTCTCTTGCTTTTCTCCGTCCATGCTTCTGATTGGACACTCTTTCGCTTGTCCGTCATTTCGTTTGTGCTTGCGTGCGTGCGTCCGTCCGTCTATGTATCAACAAACTGGGTGTGTACATTCGAATGACTACAAGATCTCAGATTGGTTCAATAATTTCAGCGTTTTTTCTTGTTACGTTGTGGCGCTGTGTTACGACCCTATTATGAACTTTACTGTGGCGCGGTGTTACGACCCTATTATGGATTTTACTGTGGCGCGGTGTTACGACCCTATTATGGATTATACTGTGGCGCGGTGTTATCGCCCGTTTGATTGCTGTGGTGCAATGTTACGGCCCTATTATGGACTTTACTGTGGCGCGGTGTTACGACCCTATTATGGATTTTACTGTGGCGCGGTGTTATCGCCCGTTTGATTGCTGTGGTGCAATGTTACGGCCCTATTATGGACTTTACTGTGGCGCGGTGTTACGACCCTATTATGGACTTTGTGGCGCGGTGTTACGACCTATTATGGACTTTACTGTGGCGCGGTGTTACGGCCCGGCCTGTTATGACTTTACGGCCCTATTATGAACTTTACTGTGGCGCTGTGTTACGGCCCTATTATGAACTTTACTGCGGCGCTGTGTTATCGACCGTTTGATTGCTGTGACGCAATGTTACGGTCCTATTATGGACTTTACTGTGGCGTGTGTTACCGCCCGTTTGATTGCTGTGGCGCAATGTTACGGTCTATTATGGACTTTACTGTGGCCCGGTATTACCGCCCGTTTGATTGCTGTGGCGCAATGTTACGGTCTATCATGGACTTTACTGTGGCGCAGTGTTGGCCTATTATGGACTTTACTGTGGCGCGGTGTTGCGGCCTGTTATGGACTTTACTGCGGCGCTGTGTGCACCTATTATGAACTTGTGGCGCATATTGCGGCCTATTATGAACTTTACTGCGGCGCTGTGTCATCGACCGTTTGATTGCTGTGACGCAATGTTACGGTCCTATTATGGACTTTACTGTGGCCCGGTATTACCGCCCGTTTGATTGCTGTGACGCAATGTTACGGTCCTATTATGGACTTTACTGTGGCCGGTATTACCGCCCGTTTGATTGCTGTGACGCAATGTTACGGTCTATTATGGACTTTACGTGGCGGTTTATTTGATTGCTGTGACGCAATGTTGCGGTCCTATTATGGACTTTATTGTGGCCCGCCCGTTTGATTGCTGTGGCGCAATGTTGCGGTCCTTCTGTGGCCCGGTATTACCGCCCGTTTGATTGCTGTGGCGCAATGTTACGGTCCTATTATGGACTTTACTGTGGCGCGGTGTTACCGCCCGTTTGATTGCTGTGGCGCAATGTTACGGTCCTATTATGGACTTTACTGTGGCCGGTATTACCGCCCGTTTGATTGCTGTGGCGCAATGTTACGGTCCTATTATGGACTTTACTGTGGCGCGGTATTACCGCCCGTTTGATTGCTGTGGCGCAATGTTACGGTCCTATTATGGACTTTACTGTGGCGCTGTGTTACTGTTGCTGTGGCGCAATGTTATTGGCGGACTTTACTGTGGCGTTGTGTTACCCGTTTGATTGCTGTGGCGCAATGTTACGGTATTATAATTTTACTGTGGCGCGGTATTATGCTTGATTGCTGGGGCTTTGCTACCTTTAGTTGGTTACGTAGAGATCGGCTCTTAGATTATTCCACTAACATAACTTAAATCCCAATCTCTAAACTCCTGGTAGTGTTAAGGGTGTTTGCATTAGTGGGTGTAGGCAGGGTGTTGTGAGACGCAGGAGACAGGTGTGTTGGGGAGACAGGTGTAGGCAGGGGTGCTGGGGAGACAGGTGTAGGCAGGGTGTTGTGGAGACAGGTGTAGGCAGGGTGTGTTGTGGAGACAGGTGTAGGCAGGGTGTTGTGAGACAGGTGGCAGGGTGTTGTGAGACGGTGGGAGACAGGTGTAGGCAGTGGGTGCTGGGAGACAGTGGGCAGGGTTTTATCAGACATGTGTGGGCAGGGGTGGGACAGGTGTGGGGTGTTGTGGGAGACAGGTGTAGGCAGGGGTGGGCAGGAGACAGGTGTAGGCAGGGTGTTGTGGAGACAGGTGTGGGGCAGAGACAGGTGTGTAGGCAGGGGTGCTGTGGAGACAGGTGTAGGCCTACAGAGACAGGTGTAGGGCAGGGGTGTTGTGAGACAGGTGTAGGCAGGGGTGTGTGAGACAGGTGTGGGGCAGGGTTTTACTCAGACATGTGTGGGCAGGGTGTCAGGGAGACAGGTGTAGGCAGGGGTGTTGTGAGACAGGTGTAGGTAGGGTGTTATGAGACAGGGTGTAGTAGGTGTTGTGTGACAGGTGGGAATTAGAGACAGGTGTAGGCAGGGTGTTGGGGAGACACAGGTGTGGTGGTGCAGGGTGTTAGAGACAGGTGTAGGAGGGTGTTGTGACAGACAGGGGTGTGGGCAGGGCCTCAGACATGTGTGGGCAGGGTGTGTTGCTGGGACAGGTGTAGGCAGGGGTGTTGGGGAGACAGGTGTAGCAGGGTGTTGTGGAGACCCAGGAGACAGGTTCAGGCAGGGTGTTGTGGAGACACTAGGTAGGGTAAGCTGGGGAGACAGGTGTAGGCTGTGGGGAGACAGTGTAGGGCAGGGGTGTTGTGGGAGACCAGGGGTTAGGTTTGCTAAAACAGATGTGGGCAGGGGTGTGTGTGGGACAGGTGTAGGCAGGTGGTTGTGAGACAGGTGTAGGCAGGTGGGAAAGGGGTGTGGGAGACAGGTGTAGGGGCAGGGGGAGACAGGGTGTAGGCAGGGGTGTTGTGAGACACAGGTGTGTAGGGGTGTTGTGGGAGACAGGCCTTTATCAGACATGGTACAGGAGACAGGTGGGCAGAGACAGGTGTAGGCAGGGTAAAGCCAGGAGACAGGTGTAGGCAGGGGGAGACAGGTGTGCAGGGCTTTACTAGACATGTGTGGGCAGGGGTGTTGTGAGACAGGTGTAGAATGTGAGACAGGTGGGGCAGGGGTGTCAGGAGACAGGTGTGTAAGGGGTGTAGAGACAGGTGTAGGCAGGGGTTGGGTGT